ATCTTCTCTCTCTCTCTCTCTCTCTCTCTCTCTCTCACTCTAGAGGACAAGAAAGGCAGGGGCTTTCTCGCTTGCAAGAAACCTCCGGAGAGTTTCCTTCCCTTCTCTGGTTCCCCTTTACTTGGGACTCTGAGATGATGGTTTTTAGAAGCAGCAGAAGCGGAATGACATGCTTTTGTTCTTTTGGGATGCTTTTGGAAGGTGAATGTCCATGAGGGGTCCCTTCTTTTTGAGCTCAAAGGGTGAGAGAAGAGAGTCGAAAGGAGGGAGATTTTCGCTTTTTTTTTTGGTCATTCTTGTTCTGCTACAGAGCGAGAGAGAGAGAGAGAGAGAGACTTCTTTCTTTTGGGGTGAGGAAGAGGAGGAGGAGGAGGAAGAGAAGGTAATGATGGGATTGACCATCTTGTCTCATGCATTTGTCCGAAGGATTGTGGTCTCTGTCACGTGTTATCTCTTACCTTTTCAAATTTACTACTCTTGACACACAGAGAGAAAGAGAGATTAGTGGACCTGCTTCACTGTAATCTTTCAGGTTCTTCCCCCAAATGATTCTGGTTTTCTTGAGTTGAAAGTTCATGCTACTGTTCATACCTGAATGGTTGAAATTGTTAAAAGATAACATATTCAATTCGAAAAAAAACGACGTGAAAAACGAATCATCAATAGATATATTGTATCTTGTAGGAACTAAATTAATAATAAGATATTATCTGAATTTTATTATAGTATGTCCAATTAATGATTTGATATGCTTGTCAACACATATATATATATATATCCATTTTACTGTAATTTTTGGGTTACTTTTAGCTAGTGAAAACTTGAGAGTGCGGGGGGGTCCAAGGAAGAACAAAAGGGAAAGTGAGAGCAATGCCAAAATAAGAAAAATTTAGAGATCAATAATAAAGGGAGCTGAAATGGGATGGGCGGAGGTGACTGGTTGGGCTGTCCCACCCCATGAAAAAAGGGATTTTGCAACAAATAAATAAATAAATAAGTAAGGGCAAAATAAAATTAAAAAAAAAAGATAAAGAGAAAACAAAATGGAGACTTGTGTTTCCAGGTTGTCCCATTTGATCACACGTGTCTCTCTATCATTTCCCTCTTCCTTCGTCTTCCGGCAGCATCCCCCTTCTCTTTTGAAAAACCTTTTGCTTTTCTTTTTTCCATGCAAGTAAATCCCAATCTCATTTGAAAAATGATACAAACAATTCATAAACTTCGGTCTAACGTATAATATGATCCCTAAATTTATAATTTATTTAATATGGCCCCTAAACTTTAAATCGATATGTAATATAGTCCCCGAACTTTTAATTTGTTCAATATGGTATCCGAAGTTTTAGTATATGTTCAAGTTAGTCTATGAACTATATGAAAATATAACATTAGGCTAAAGTTCAGGAATGAACAAATTAAAAATTCGGGGATCAATTTGCACATTAAGTCAAAGTTCAGATATTGTTTGTGTCATTATTTCTATAAAATACTCTTGAATTTCATTTAGGCAGGGCGATGATAGAAACTCCGGCTCATATTTTAAATATGATTATTTATGGGTTAAGATGCTAAGAATCAAGCGAGAATCTTTATTGTTATATGACCGATTCAATTGCTCGAAACCATTTTCTAATTAAATCAACTTATGAGGGTGCTTTAAGGGTTCTGGAAATATCTTACAATTGTCTAGCAAACAAGTATCGTGCATGCTATCAAACTACTTTATCTCGAGACGGGGAAAAAGTTAAAAGACATTAGTATCTGATAATTGATGATGATATCATATATATGAACTGTCATGCAGCGGTGCCAGAATTCCCAAAATCTCTGGTTATGTTTTAATTTTTCTATATTTGCCTGACCATATGATTAGTGTCAGCTTGCTGAGTAAGAAGCTTTTGTTTTCTCCTATGCTTATATGCAATAATCGTCCGTCTTCTTCTCAGTTCCAACCCAAATCGTAGTAATCTTTTCTGTTTCTTTTAATCTAATTTCAATAGTAACCTAACATCATTGGGTTCTCATAATCTTCTCTATTACAGCTCATATGCCCTAACCATGTCCATCTGTCATCCCCAAATGAATTCCGAAGCATCCAAAGCTTTGGTTTGGGTCTCGAACATTGTTTTTGGACAAGGGGCTCTCATTACATAAACATGTACAGTTTCTCATCATGGCCTTATTCATAGGTCCTCAAGTCTAGCTAATTTTTTTCTTCCTTTTTCCTTGATTAATTGCTGGTTAAGACAAATTTAAAGACTAACCGTATGAACTAAGATTGCGATTTTGGAATGTTAAAGACAAACCACCGCTTCGAATCATACGGCCCTGGATTTTTCATGGCCTCAAATTTAATAAGGATTAAGGGCTGCATCTTTCTGTGACATGATGGTCCTCACCTACAAAACCCTAACATTCACAAGCCGACTAATTCTAGAGCCAATTCAAGAATGTGTCACTTAAGAAGAATAATGATGACTGTTAAGGAACACAACATTGTTTCTGTTGATGTTGTTCCATCGGAAGTCTATTAGACTAGCGCCAGACCTTGTTAGATTGTCCTATTTCCCCCCATTATTACCTAACACATTAGCTGATGGAGCACCTAGCTAGCGACCCCTTCGATAGTTATTCTCAAAACATGCATGCTCGGCCAAGCCACATCCGAATAAACTAGATCGCGCGGGGTTTCGGGATCAGCTCGGCGCACGAGGAACACGTACCCCAACGCTTTACCCATCTCGAATTTGAAAAGCACAGGAGAATGGAGCGAAAGAAGCAGCAGATGATTCTTGGGGATCTGCAAATGTGTGGATCACGCATTGCTCCGAGCGAGAACAAAAGAGAAAAAAGGGAGGGTGGCCCCAACCGGGGCCATGCAATAGAATAAGAACGATAATGGCTCTTTGGGAAAGAGAAGAGTCCTTCGGAATCGCGGTTTGTTTATGTGGAAACTGAGCTTCGTTCCATGTGGGGGATGCAACGTAATGGTCCCCCATGATGACCCGTTTTGATGGGGATTCATGAGAGGACACTCCCACAACACAGACGATCCAAACAAAGAGAATATTGAGGGGCGTGTGTTGGAGATGTCCGAGACAGCTGCCTCGATAGTTCCTGCCTCCCCTCGTGCCCTTGTCCTAATGAGTCCAGCCCTGTTTCCCCCCTTTCCAAGACCTTTGCTTTTCCTTTTGTATTTTCATGGGCGCCCCCAGAATTCCTGGGGAAAATAAAACTTGTGATTTTCGAATCCTCCCCCACATTTCGAAATGAATATAATCAAGTGATGGGGTCAGATTTTGAATTTTGGTGGCTCCTCTTTCGCCTCCAATGAACCCTTAGATAAGGCAACTCTTAGTGACCAACCTCATTTGGTAAGGCACTAGACGATCACCTACACGTATGTGTTCTCAAATGCCTCGGGGCGAACACATATGGATGGACACCGGTCGTCACAAGTGATAAACGCTGTGCAATTGGTGAACACCCGGCCAAAAAGAAATCTTCAGATCATGTCACGAAGAAAATCCATGTTGGGTCTCTCATTGGTCAGAGAGTAATGTGCATATTCCTTACATTGCCCGACATGTTGATGACAAAGATATCTTAGTGCGTGACATCAATCTTGGGTGCATTGCATTTCGTTCGATTTTGCCAAAGCCCTTTGGGCTCTTAAGATTCCTTAGACAAACGCAAATGACGTATGGTAATTTTTGGAGAGCTTTTGGGGAAATGTAATTGCATCTCCAAAGTACTTTAGCCCAAAACAGGTTTTGGGGTACTTTGAAATGCTGCATTTACGGAATGCTAGTCTTGAATTTAATAATTTTTTTATTCCACTCTGGCACTGTTCATCTTCCCTGCATTTTGCACAAAGGAGATGGATGGTTGGCAACCGTTGCCTAGGAAATGGTGGGACCCAAGCAATCGTTGCCTGAGGTCGCGCCACCCAGGCGACGACGACGTGAGCCCAGGTGCTACATCGCGAGACCACATGCGATGTCGGCAGCTAGATCTGGTTTGCCAACTGCCCATTGGTGGCTTGAGCCTTGCCGGAAATGTTTGAGATTTTTTTTTCGAAAAAAATAGCAAATGTCTTTTACAAAGTGTAGCTTTTTTTTTCCAAACAGTATTTAAGTCAAACTTGCTTTCTAATGTATTGTTAAATTACAGTTTACCAAACACTATTTGTATTTTGGAAAATCCCTTTCAGCTAAAGTCCTCTGCGTTCTTCCAAAGGCTTTCCTCCAAAGCCGAACCAAACGCAAGTCCTTGTTTCCACACCCTTATTAAACGGCCCTAATTTTCGATCATCACCGCGTGGCGGCGTCAACATAGAATGTCCCTTTGAGCTTGATATGTGCTGTATGGAAAATAAGAATGCATGCAAACGAGGAACTCCCCTCGTGAACGGGGTACGTGCATGTTCTTGGAGCATCCCTCGAGAAACATATTAGCTCGCTCGATCCTCCCGAAGGCAACCCGGATGTATCTTCATCTTCAGCATGCGGGAGGGAATCATTCCAGACGATGAATCGCACGACCTCTTCAACTTGCCTTGTCCCGTGGACGGCCCCAACAGGTAGGGGCCCAAACAAGTAGACATTTGCAAAGCCGTTGGGCTTCAAGACAATGGTCCATCATCATCGGACTGAAGAAGGGAAATTCCTCGACGAAAAAAGGAAACTTGCAGACGTGCTTTATCTCTGCGTCGAGGTGATACACATGCATCGTAGAGCATTGATGTACAAAATCAATCAAAAAATTGTACGAATCCATTCTTGACTAAACAATGGTTTATCATCGAGGGTATTAATACTAGGATGGGAAACATGATGATATTTTACCTAAATAAGCTCAGATTTCTCATGAATGTTCGGATATGGACAAATTGATTAGGAGTGTGATGAGTTTTCATACATTAATATCCTATTAATACCCTTGCGCGATTACAACTGATAAGAAGAAAGGCACCATCTCGTTTATATTTTCCAATGAAGATGGAGAAGAACGCGATGTCATGCATAATCACAGGCACGCTATTTCTCACGTTAATCTTCAATCTTCCCGCCTCCATCACATCCAAAGGAGACGCAGGGTTCATGTCGCCCCTCATCCACCGTAGCTCCCCCGAATCTCCATTCTATGACCCCAACGCCTCGCCTGCGAGCCTCCGGCGCGCTGCCCTCCGGGCATCTCGAGCTCGAAGCCGGTACTTCGTGCAAAAAGCGAGCTTCCAGCGCCTGAAAGCACATGGTGGCAGCGGCGACGACTTCTCTCGCACCCTATCCAAGGCCCCCATCTATCCCTACGGACCAGACACCGAGTATGTGATGAAAGTCAGCATCGGGACGCCGCGGGTGGAGACCTATTGGGTGCCGGACACGGGGAGTTCTCTGACATGGTTGCAATGCGAGCCTTGCGTGAACTGCTTCAGCCAGACCACGCCCTTGTTCAACCCGAAGAAATCGCAAACTTATACTAGAGTCTTCTGCGAAACGGATGAGTGCGGGAAGGTATTCAACTCCGGATGTCACGATGAAACCCTTGAGTGCTCGTACGACTATGCGTATATGGACGGCTCGATCTCCACCGGGGTATGTATGTTCTTGTTGTCTGAACATAATGTAATTTATGATTATTCCCTTGCAAATCATATTCCACATTTTAGATTCACTAGGGAGAAAACGATAGCATTTTTTTTTTCAATCTGCAATTTACGCGGAATCGATAGTTAAGAATCCGTTTCTTCGGGGAAAAATCTAATCAGATATTGATACCAATCTGAAAAACTAGTTTTCATTCTGCTAATGTCGATGCCCCTCTTAACAGTGGTTCACTTTTTCGCCCGCTCACGAGTCTCGAGTGGTGTTTTTTCTAAACAGTTAGTAGCAAAAGAAACGGTGATGTTTCTAAACGAGGGTGGGACGATAAATTACACGAATATGCTCTTCGGGTGCGGGCACCAAAGCCGAGGCTTCTGGGCTAGTTCGATGCCGGCCGGCTTAGCCGGCATGGACCGCGAGCCTATTTCTCTGGTGAGCCAGCTTGGGGAGAGCAGATTCTCGTACTGTTTCTCGAGCAACAAGAACAGCAGCATCGGCCACAGCATGCTGAGGTTCGGGATGCTGGCGGTGGTTCCAAGGGAGAGCACGACACCGCTCTTGGTAAAGAAGAGTTTGCAGTACGATGTGGAGGTGGAGGATATCAGTGTTGCAGGTACCGAGTCGAACGATCGACTACGTTGATACGTTTTGAATAGATATTGTAATCATTTGAATTTGTTGGTATTTTGTACCAAAATACTAGTAGCTAGATCATCAGTTTACATCGAGACCAAGCCAGATTAATCACGAGATATCTCGAACGTGAAATGTCTTCCTGATATTGCAGGGGTGCCATTGAATATACCGAAGTGGGTTTTCGACTCCGACGAATACGGGTCGCGGGGATTCATTATCGACACCGGAACCACGTACACGATGCTCGACCCAACCGCCCACACGGCAGTGGTCGAAGCGGTGAAGAAATTCATGAAGGACAAGCACGGCAGGGACCCGACGAGCGACACTAGCTCGACCATCATGCTGTGCTACGACGACGTGTCGGACGGACCGGCTATAACGATACTGTTCAAGGGATTGGCGTTCGAGATCTCGCAGAAGAACACGTGGGAGTTTTACTATCCGGATGAATATTGCCTCGCGATGCATGCAGGCGATTCGGTCTCTATACTCGGAGTGTACCAGCAGAGGGATGTCAATGTCGGGTACGATTTGGATTACAATTTCGTGTCTTTGCGCGATGCTGATTGTCCATTGGAACCCGATGGCTTTTCCAACATCAACATCGTATGAAAGCGTGGACTGCAGTTTGAGTTTTCCACTAAATGAAGCATATTTATATCCTTCCTTTCCCACGAATATAGATATTTTTCTTGTGCTGATGTATTTTACCTCGTGAAATTTAGTGTAAAAAAAAAAGTGTCGGTAAAAAAAAAATGACTGGCGACTTTTATCTAAATAACTTATTGGTAACGTATCGATACTTTTATTCATCATCGGAGAGCAATTTCTGACGAAGAAAACAATATCATCGGAGAGCAATTAGAAATTCCTCAATAAGAAGAAAAATTTCAGACTGTTGACACAAGAAAAAAAAAAAGACTAACTTTTGATTATAATCGACGAGTGACAGACTTAGATGGTAATAGCAGAGTTTGGTAAACAACAGAATTTATTGATGAAAAGAACAATTGACAACTTGAAGAGCATACCACCCGCCTAGGTGGCGCTGCTGGAGCACGCACTCTTCCTCTCGCAAAAGGTTAATCGTTCGAATCCCGGGTGCTGTAGGGTGACTTAACCGGTGCACGTGTGTGGTGGCTAGCACGTGTCGCCCCCAGGGTTTACCTCCCGGCTGTCGGCCGCACGGGGGTTCCCTGGGTCATCAAAAAAAAAAAAAAAAAAAGACAACTTGAAGAGCATCAACAACTTGCCGAGAAAGTTATGGACAGCAAACAACAAACATTAGTTATCGATGAGAACCTTCGTTGGGATGAAGTCATCCATGTCGACATGTAAATGCCAAATATCGTTATTTTTCAATGTGTAACTTCATTTAGATAGGTGTTGCTAAATGGTAGGAAATTGTGGATGATGTAACTTCTTGTAACTAGAGAGAAGTTATTATTTAGAAGATGAATTAGGAAGTCATCTTTTTAAATCGAATAACTATTTGTAATTGTCGATTGTGGATTATAAATAGCCACGTCATACTTTTTGAAAAAGATCTCCAATCAATTGCAGGACTTAATATTTTTTGCAAACTCTACTTTTTCGCAATTTAAATGGCTAGGTTCAATTGCTTTCGGTCTTTATACCTTTAAATTCTTTATCATTTACTTTCCTATCCAGAATCAACAAAGGACCCTTTGTATCATTTGTCAATTCACTCATCGATCCGTCGATACTTCGAATGACATTTCAATCTACACTTTTCGGCAAAACACAAACATTGTTCGGTCATTATCAACTCCTCATGGTATATCTTCAGAGAGACACGATGGGGAAAATAACCTAAGTATATGAATCGTAAAGAAATGAAATTCAACATATTTGTAATTCAAAATTCGTTTGACCCAAGTTGAATTGAAGTTCGATGTCTACCGATGGAGTTTATCTCTATGACAAGTATGATGTGCAAATCAACCAAAGCTGCATGGATTGATTTTCTTACTAAATTTGATTCATAATCAGGAAATAATTCCTAGAACGGAAAATGGCACTATTTACCTAAACTATACTAAACCAGATCTACTCACATTTCGACAAGAGCGCGGCTAGCATGATTGGGTTGAAGAATGACAACGTTCACTTTGCCCCCTCACAAGTCACAAATGATGTTATATTAACAGACAGTATCACCTCTAAAAACTGACGATGTTTCTTCACGAGGACCAACATTCCGGGAACATAAACTTCACAGATATGCTCTTCGGGTGTGGGCATGCGAATCGAGGCGACGGGCAATCTCCGGAGCCAGTTGGTATAGCGGGCATGAACCGGTATACTGTTTCTCTGGCGGGTCAGATTGGGCTCAGGAAATTCTCGTACTGTGCCTCGAGCAACCGCAACGCCGGCATGGCCCACGGTATGCTGAGAATCGGACTCGCACGACGGCGCTTTTGTCCACGGGCAGTTGGCAATACGAAGTGCAGGTGGATGATATCAGGGTGCTGGTACTCTATTTTGGTTCGATTTGGTTCTGATAGACTACATTGATATATATTGAATAGATTTGACCAAACTGCTAGCTCGTTCATCAGTTTGGTGTAGAGATAAACTTATACATTGAAACCAAGCCAAAGTAGTCACTTCACTCATTTCGTGTTTGAGCTTAATGTGAAATATCTTGCTAACATCGCAGGGGTGCCGATGAATACACCAAATTGGGTTTTCAACACCGGCGAAGACGGAACGGGGGATTCATTATTCACACCGAAACAACGTGGACTGACCTCGACTCGACCCCTATTTAGCAGTGACGAGCATGGTGAAGCAATTCATGAAGGACAAGGACCACAGGGTAAAGACAACACAAATACCAAATTTTTTTTTTCCATTTGTATAATCGAATACCCAAATTTCTTTTTATTCAATCGAATATCTCGACTTTTCAAATATGGGTCTAGTGAGACCTCCATAAAAATCATGAATGGCAAATGTCAAATTGAACACGGACGCTGGTTAATAGTCGTTGACTATCCACATTGGCATTTTATATGGTTTCTGCAAATGATGCCACGCCAATGGAAACATATTAGACTGCCAAGATCATCATCTCTCTCCTCATCACCCTACACCCAAATAGAGATGACATAATTTTTGCTTAGTAAGCGAGCCCCTACTTCGATCAAAAAAAAAAAAAAATAGCGAGCCAGTTGAAACGATCGAGCTTAACTTTTTCTAAATGAGCAAGCCTTGTCAGCAAAATGACATCGTAGTTTGTTTAAATGAAGGCCTCACATTGAGTTAAATTTGAGAAGTTGAAGCACTTAATTGAATTATAAAAAGTTTAGGTACTTGATTGTAAAACAGACAAAAATTGAAGTATTTATGTGTCATCATCTTGTTGAATAATCATAAGTAACTAACTCATGAGTTGGTACTGGTAACCTAGTTAATCACTTAATTAGAAAAAAGTTGGTAAGTAATTCAAATGAAAGTTGATAACCCCAAACTAGTTGGTATTAAATCGCTCAAATTAAAATTGGTCCATTTATATAAGAGTTGTTAATATAAAACATTGATTAGAAAGACAGACAAGAATTAAAGTTATTAACCTTCAAATTGTTGAAAATAGATGGTAAATTTAGAAAAGTGTCAACAAGTTGCCAACTTGTTGAGAAACCAGGTGACCAGTAATTTTTTTACCAATAGTTTTTTGGGTAAAAGCAACCAAAAAATTCTAAACTATCACATTTATCCTAATTTATTTTTATGATACCAAAAATCCCAAACTCGTATTTGTGTAACACATTTACCCTCCGTTAAAGTTCTGTCAATAAGAACCATTAAAAATCTGTCTACATAGATGTTAAAAAGTAAGCAGTACTGATAATGGCGTTCACGTGATTTAAGTGAAACAAAAAAACGACGTTGGTTTGACCGAAAAATTATCTCGACGTTGGTTTGCCAAAAATTAACGAAATATTGATTGAAGGTAAATATGTTACATAAATATATTTTTTTTTTCCACCTTTTTTTTTTTTGTCCCCCTCCTTCCCTCGGCGGTGCCTGGCCGCCGGTCCTGGCCTCAGAGGTCCCGGAAAAATTTTAAGATAAATATGTTACTATGGACATAATTTGGAGTTTTTATGTCAAAAAAAAGTTCAATATAAATGTTATCATAGTGATCATAATTTAAAGATTTTTTTGTGGCTTTTTTCTTAACATTTTTTTGACATTCACCAGCTTTTTCGTAAGTACACCAGTAAAGGAGGCGCAATAAACGAAAGGTGTACTTGACTTTTATAGAGGCGCAATAAACGATGCATGACTCAAGAATTTTTATATGCCGAATATTCTGTAAAAAAATGAATTTCCCAAGCTATAGAAATAGTTTTATAGTTGTGTGTATTTTGTTCTTGATTTTGGAGGCCCGAGTTTATTAGGCTATATATTTCCTTTTTCTTTTTCCCTCTTCTTCTCCTCCATAAGCATTGCAAGCAACCCTGTGAGGCCCGTCTCTGGCCACTGGCAGCTCCCACTTCGTCCATTACCACCAGAGTTGTTCCCTCCGGTCATCTCTATGATAATATACTGTTCACCTTTACAATTGCGACCAATTTGAGTTTATTAACACAACTTCGTAAAATCTAATACTAAGTGATATGGTCGATTGTAATTGGATGATTAATAAGCGAGGCATATTCGAGTATTCTATTAGAAGTACATGTCACACTATTTTTTTTTAGATAAATAATGCATGTTTCTGTCTCTAGTAATATTTCAACAATTATCTTGGAAATTGACCTTGTCTTGTCTCCTAAAGTCTGTTGAGCTGCCCCAGTTGCCGGAAAATTTGCTGCGAGTCTCACTGTAAAGACATGACATAAAGATTTCAGAAGAAACTTGCGCTTATATAAACCAGGCTCCAGCACCAACTACCATTGGCAACATTACTCTCTCTCTCTCTCTCTCTCTCTCTCTCTCTCTCTCTCTCTCTAATATCACCACCAACATGCAGCACAACCAAATGACACTGAACCACCAATGCATCACCTCCTTCAAAACCCTAACACCCCACCTCAGCTGCCTCGCGGCCAACCACAACCTCCTCTATGCTGCCGCCTTCAACCAAGTCCACGTCTTCGACTTGTCCACCCGAGCCCACGTCGACTCCTTCAATGCCGCCAAACCGTCCTCCGGCTCCGTCAAATCCATCGCCTTCTCCGGCTCCAAGGTCTTTACCGCCCACCAAGACCGCAAGATCCGTGTATGGCAAGTCGTGATGACGCCTTCGAGAGGACACCGCCTCCTGTCTTCGCTGCCGACCCTCAAAGACCGTTTGATGCGTTTTATCTTGCCCAAGAACTATGTTCATGTGAGGCGCCACAAGAAGCGGCTCTGGATCGAGCATGCCGACACCGTCTCTTGTTTGGCTGTCAACGAGGGTTTGGTTTATTCGGTCTCATGGGACAAGAGCTTGAAAGTGTGGGACGCGTGTGAGAACAAGTGCTTGGAGTCCGTGCACAAAGCACACGACGACGCCGTCAATGCTGTGGTGGTTTCCGACGATGGGACGGTTTACACGGCATCGGCTGATGGAGCAATTAGGGTATGGGAGAAGAAGGAGAAAGAGAGGAGGCACAGGTTGATGCATGTGTTGGAGAGGCACAAATCCAGTGTTAACGCGCTTGCGTTGAACCACTCCGGGGACGACGGATTTGTCTTGTTCTCTGGGGGTTCCGACCGTTCGATTGGGGTGTGGCGAAGAGATGATGGCCGTGACCGGATGGCATTCCGGGAAGCGCTGTGGGGTCATGGAGGGGCCATACTGTGCTTGACCGTCGTCGGCAATGACGTGTTGCTCAGCGGATCGAGTGATCAGACGGTGAGGGTCTGGCGGCGGGGTGAGGAGGGTGGTGGGTATTGTTGCGTGGGAACCATGGGAAAGCATGAAAGGCCGGTGAAGTCGTTGGTGAGAGTTTCAACTTCAACAGATGCTTCTCAGAATAATGAGAATGATGCTATCACAGTTTGTAGCGGAAGTCTTGATGGTGAGATTAAGCTATGGGAGATTACTGCTTAATTGGCACCTCAGAATCAGATTGCTTAATCATCATCCGGCAAGCTTCGCACCATGCACCGTCTTCTTATTTTCTTTCAACATTTGTAAAAGTCGAAGTCACAAGCAAGTATTTATCGTATACTTATCCTATCATCTGATGTAATATATCCTAGTAATCGAATTCAAGGTCTTGATGTAATGAGTCAATCATATGTCATTCGTTATGTTGTTCTAAGATAACGTGGTCAGCTAATTATATGATCAAACCAAATGGAATTACATACGTATCTGTTCTTTTTTTGGTAATATGGGTACCAAATATTCTCGGCTCGAGCTACACATGCATTTGCATTTTCATTATTTGTCATGCAATAATATGATGCACATAAGTGACTGAACATTGCGCTTTCCTTCAAGACATTGACATGCTCCACTTATGGAACATCACCTGCCCCCGCTTGTTTTTATTCCTTAGTCATCATGTGATGTGATAGCGATGCGAGGAAGGTACACAGGATCGCAACTTTTGATGCGGGAACGACACCAATCAGCCAATAACATATCTTTATGACATTCTCACGACTGATGTTCAGTGTATCATCCACGTGATCAACAATGATACTGCAATTTATTCTTTTCTTGCCGTTCAAAAGCTGTGCACTAGTCTCTTCGGAGACATCCGATAAAAAAAAAAGCTGTGCACTAAAGTCTAGATGCGCCATTTAATAATGTTTTGTTGCGTGCATTACGATACCCCCATTGATGATCACTAAGATTATAATAAGAGGTTTGCTCCCTTGGGAGCTTGGCATGGACAGATAACAATCTCAGCCATTCAAGTTCTGTCGCCCCAGCCTTCTTAGACTAACCTCTACATTTCCGTAAAAGTGGGAGCATGTGCATTGCTCTCCACAGGTTCACCGGTCAATTTCCCTTAACGTAAGCAATTGTCTCATCAAGCATTTCAACTCTTTTGTTGTGCACTATGAAGGCCTAAGACTAGTTCTTTAGCCGTCCTTTAATAAAAGATATCTTAAACCTTGCGGTACCAGAACCAGAAGATACCCATTATCATAGGCCGTGTTGATCATGCTTCAAAGGATAAAAGAGCCGAAGTACACCCAGTATGACTAAGTTTTCGATGTTTCGCGGAGCCGAAAAGTTTCATTTACGTAGACCGCTTATAATTTGAGTGTCACACATCTTTTTTGAAGGTTATTTGTACCGTGATGGACTGACAGAATGCGACGGATATAAAGTACGCAGATGGGAGAATCTGCACCCCAGCGTCAGTGAATAATTGTACAGACGTTCACATGGAAAGGACAACATGCTAGCGAAAGATCCACGAGAAGAACCTTTTTGAAAGATGTAAAAAGACAAACATCAATTGTAGGATTTGAATTGCTTCCTATCTTTCATATCGACAGCATTCGACCAGTAGATAATGTTTTTAATGCAGTCTGTTGACCATTTACTTGTCCCCAAATATTCCCCATGATGGTGTATTAGTAGATTAGTCATCCACTAATCGTTTTGTGGCTTCTACTGTCATCATTCTACTCCTATCTATCACCTATCCTTCAATCTATGCCCCTGTATAGCCAAATAATTCATCCCGTGATCCTTAAACACGGCCCAATTAACGCCTGAGGCAAATGCATCCCATCATTCTTATTCAAAAAACCCTCGATGTTAATTGAGAAATTTGCTAAACTAATCACTCCCGGTAACAACACATGGATGATGTCTTGTCTAAGACTACAAATGAAGGACAAGAATCCAAGGTACAAAGTCTAGGTTAGTCAATAATGCACCTAGTGTGGAGAATATAATCTGTATCCTGAACAACTTTAAGGGAAGATGAGGAGCTTACTCAAATAGTCGAATAATCTGTCAAAGAATCTCTATACAAGCAGATAGAGTATCTAATTCAAGCTAATCGTCTCTAGCTTATGTTCCTATTTCATGTAATCCATAGTCAAGACTCAAGATCAATCATCAGCAGGAGAGAAAAGTGTGAGACATATAGCTTAAAATTGTGTCTGAACTCAAGGAAGAGCACCATATGCAATTACCTTAGTGTAGGTGCCAAACTAGAGCTATTAAAGAAAAATATGTCTAATCAGCTGATATCTACCAGAATTCGCATTATAGAAGTTTAGAGTTCCCCAGTCATGTTCAAACTTCTGAAGATCCGTAAAACCAGGTAAAATTCCAAAAAGTTATCAAGAAGCTAGTCATTCCTAGGATCTTTGCTCTGAATTGAGAACAGTGTCCTTTCTTGAGTCAGGGGGCCTTACAGCAATGCTCCACACAAACTTGAATAGATAAATTCAGCGAAAACATGAAGGCAACCCATACTCTGATTTGGCTAGTACAGAATGCAGAAAAAATTCTACATACTGTTCAAATATCTTTGTTTTTAGTCACCTACAATATTGTTATCAGCAACAAAAAGAATCATCTAGAAGATTGTACCCCTTTTGGAGGTGTTGGAACATCTGCAATTCATATCAATTTGAGACATGGCTAACATTAGTCAGATTGCAAATGGAAATACATTCTAGAAATTAACTAATCTTCGTTTTTTTTGAAGAATTTCCACCGTAGCTGTTCCTAATCGACCCAGCATTGTATTTAATAGTCAATTCTCGAGTTTGATACTTTAGTTTCTCCAGCTAAATATTTTATAAAGATCTTAACAACGTGATCACTTCCTCAAGGATACAAAGCATTTCAGCATCATGTCTGTTGCCTTCATCACTATGAACTGCTATGGACTGCTTATGATGGTATCACAACACTTTAAGCATGAACTATCTAATATTATCTTCCAAGATCAAATTCAGATGGAGGTCTACAGGATCTTTTGGCATAACATCAGATAGAGCCAGAAGGTAGGAGAGAAAATAGATTCAAAGAGGTACATAAGTCCATATGTTATAAAAAGTATGTCTTGACCTCATATCAGAATAAAACATGATATACTTTTATATAATCTTCAAAGGTAGATATCATTTAGAAATCCTGATTGAGGTAGAAACTGAAATACAATATAAGATTTCTTGAAACTTCACAACCACGCTAATTCATAAGAGAGCAGGGAGGTTGAATCCAAAAATTTGTCAATTTGGACAAAGGAGTATCCTAATTAAGTTCTACCTATCACGTACTTCTTTTTGCAAGAAACAATTAACATCTGATTAATGAAAAACATGCTAAACTTCTCATCAAGACCTGATTTTTCAGTATCCGAGCTATATCAGGAAGGAACGCCTCAAAAGTCGAGAAGTAACTGGGGAAGAATCCTCTCCAAGTGAGTTGGCTCAATCTTCGTCATGCCCTCTGCCTCAGCGATAGCAGCAGCTCGTTGCACGGCCTCTGCATCAATGAGGAGTACATGAGGGTTCTTACTATACCATTGACAATACAGAAAACAACTTTTGGCCAAGACGAACCTGTGATAAAGAGCCGCAGGAGTTCACAGCTCAGCTTCAGTGCATTAGAATTAGCTGCATCAAAATATACCGCTGTGTCTTAGGGAAAAACTACTCGAAATTTATGTTCCTTTTCCGTAAATAAACTCTACACGATCATATTCCTTAAAACCGGAATGCCCAACGACTATGAGTACCGGAAGTCGGTCGGTTCTTCTTGGACGTCGCATTCGCAGGTCCTGCCTGCAGCAATCATATACACAGTCAGAGACCATAAACGAACACAGACAACACAGCTCATGCTACCAAATTCCAAGGAATAACAGCAACACCGCTTCATTCTTCTGAAAGGGTAGTTTTCGTCTGGTCCCATTTGAATTCTTGCGGCAAAATATCCGACTCGAAGAAACGAGTAGGCCAATTTCATCATTCCACAATGACAGCATTTCATATTCATGTCATGCGCCTCCAAATTATAGGCGGTACCAAAAACGGATTCCGGAGAAATTGTTTCAAAACTCGCCAAGCCCCATCAGCTTCGACTAATCAAATGGCACTCGGGTCATTGCCGCATTCACGTTGGCCACGGACACCTCTCAAATTCAACCATCGCAAGCAAACCATGCCCACGGAAAAAAAAGAACGAAAAAGAAAATGGAAACGAAAACTCGCGATCGCCTTCGTTCAAGATAAGCTTGAGAAGAAACGATGAATGGATGCGGCGACGGGACGGTACCTCGTTGTCAATCGCATCGGCGGCATCGTTTCTCTCGCGCTCTGCAACGGGGCATTCCAAGTCAAAAAAAAGAAAAAAAAAGGCCGATGCGACCCCGGAAAAGACATTGATCTCGCGAGATTGAATTTAACGAAACACGAAAGGGGGAGAGATGGTCGAACCAAGGGCCATCCTGCTCCACACGCTCTTGAAGATGGAATGGATCAGATCCTGAACGGGAAAAAGAGAGAGAGAGAAAAAAACCCCAAATTACAGAATTGCGAGAATCGAAGGCACAACGGAGACGAAGAAGAATCAACAGGGGGTCGCGAATGATGATCAAGAAAGAGGGAGGGGGGGGGGGGGAAATTTACAGGATCGAAGGTCGGGTCTTCCTCCATTGGAAGCGAAGCAGACTTGATCGACGCGATGCCCAAGAACCAGGAGCAGAACCACAGGGATTTGCGAATTTCCCGCTTTCGCAGAGCCGGGCAAAACGAGGAAGGACATGTTTTATATATATATCGCAGATTTTAAGTAATAAAATAAAAATAAAGTACAGTAAAGTTTTGTTCGATAAGCCCCTATAGCTCAGTGGTAGAGCGTCAGTCTTGTAAACTGAAGGTCTGTAGTTCGATCCTGCATGGGGGCATTTTGCTAATTTTTTTTTTTTGGGCTCTCTCATCACGGAAAGATGACGTCGCTACGTCCCACGAATGACGTAACATCGACCGTCGCCTGTTTCGGCAGCTCCTTGTCCAGATTGCGAGCCCTGCGCTTCTCTTTGCAGCTCTGTACTTCTTCTTCTTCAAGCCCACTTCGCTTCCGTGAGCTGATCAACACTCCACGCCTGAAAAGGTTTCAACCTTTGTTTTGTTTTTGGAATGACTCTGGGGGCCGACGCATGTCCGCTCTGATTCAAAAGCTCGCCAGAACCGCCGCGCCCTCTTCTCTCAAACTGTTCAGACAATCCGGATTGAACCCGCGGTTCCACCCCGCGCCCGCTCTCGTCCCTCGCCGGACCGTCCCCGGCTCGCCGGGGCCGGAGCGCTCGCGCGATTCGTCGCGCGTTCCGGGTCAGGGCGCCCACGAGAATGCGAAAAGCTCGCGGATTCCGCAGCTTTACCCGGCTTTCCCGTTCGGGTCCTGCGCGAACCCCGATCCCGTCTCTTCGGCTGCCCTCGATGGAGCGGAGCACGCGGGGGGCGACGACCCTTGGCGCGTGTGGGCGGATTAGCGTGAAGAAGAAGAGGAAGAGGAAGATGAACAAGCGCAAGTATAAGAAGCTCAGGAAGCGCCTCCGGCGAAAGGCCAAGTCGTAGTTTAAAAATTTGAATTCGGCGAGAATTCGATGCGGCTGGGTTTGGAGCGTTTTGAATTGTTTCTGTTATTGTCCATAATTGTGACTGTTGTGGGTTCTCTGGATGAAGTTCTTGGTCCGCTTTTGCGTTAAGATGTTCTGTCAGAGCGCATCTGAATCTAAAGATCGAATTGTTATTACCTATGCAATACCAAGTTACCAACATGGAATCTTGAGCTGCTAATAAGAAAACAAAGGAAAGCAAACTTGAGGGTGGGATGCCAAGTCTGCTGGTCTTTCTTTGGTTTACCAGACCTGCCTCTGTTCAAATCACAACTAGTGCTGTGTACGCACATCATTCCATCTCCATCCTAGAGATGGTAGAAGGGGCTTATATGATAAGGAATGCTCGGATAATCTCATCGTTGGGTAAGCGCTAAGGTCGGTAAGCAGGGAGGGTGATCCTTTAAGGTTAGCAAATTAATTGTGCGAAGCCGGGAAAACAAAGAGCGGCGTGATTTCTAGGTTGACAAATTATCTCAATTATCTTAGACTTTAGAGGCGTATCGAATTGCTAGTGCTGTTCTGCATTTGCTTTGCGAGGAAAGTGCATGCAAATATCATGGCAAGGAAGTGGAAGCTTTCTTTGCCTCTCTTTTCTTGTTTCAGAGTTATACGAGTTAAGGAGTCGGCTAAGAAGACAAAGGAAATTGCATTAACATAGAAATGGTATTAGACATATCTTAAGCTTCATAGGACTATCTTTCTGAAGGTGCGCTGCCTTTCTAATTTGGTCATATATCTTTACTGTGATGTATCTGGGAGCACACCATCTACACAGAGGCTTAGTGCTTAATCTGAGCTAACATGACTCGCACTTCCTTGCTGTTGGGCCTGCGCTTTGGCTCATCCACTGTACAGAAGTAGGCGACCCTTAAAACCAGCAGCATTTGCTCCTCGAACCCATTGCCAATCAACTTTGGGTCAATTGCTTGTTGAGGATTATCCGAAGTCATCACATTTCTCAACCACTTGACCAGACTTATTTCTTGGGTGTGTTGGAAAAACTCGTCTGATGGTAGTTTTCCAATGACCAGGGCGGCAAGCAGAACACCAAAGCTGTATATATCGCTCCTCTCCGTGAACTTGGAAGTCAGATGGTACTCCGGAGCGATATATCCCAAAGTCCCTACGACATTGGAGCTCGTGACATGAGTATCAGAATCTGGCATAGCTTTTGCAAGCCCAAAGTCGGATATTCGGGCCTCCATGTCGTCATCTAGAAGGACGTTGGCAGGCTTGAGGTCTCGGTGGATGATCCTCGGAGTGTGGTTCATATGGAGATATTCGAGCCCAGCCGCCACTCCCAGCGCAATTCGGTGCCTCGTGAGCCAATCCAACTCTGTCTGACCTTGTGAAACCTTCTCTAGTAAATCCTGTAAGCTCCCATTCTTCATGAACTCATACACTAGCAGGTGGCAGTCTGGACGAGTCAGGTGGGCCAGCAAGGGAAGTAAATTGCGATGCCGAATCTGGCCAACAGTTTGTATCTCGGACCGAATTTGGCGCATTTTCCTATCTAAGTCCCTGGTGTCTTCTTCTGTTAGCTCTGTTGCGTCCCTGGGAGGTTGAATTATCTTCTTTATAGCAATCATCTTTCCATTACTTCCAGGTAACTCGGCCTTGTATACTTCCCCGCAGCCACCTTTGCCAATGAGTTCCAGCGACGACAGTCCCTCTTCGCTTTCCAAGAAAGCCAAATCCTCGGCTTTCTTGATCAACGGGCTAAAGATTGCCGGGCCGGATTCTCTGCGTCCCCCTCGGATTGCTGCCAAGGTCAGCCTAAAGAGCAGCGAGAAAACAAACCCCGATACGATTCCAGCAACTGCTCCAGCTAGGAACCCTAGTAGCCACCCACCTAGCTTCCTTCGGCCGTTGTGACCTTTGTGTAGCTTTGCTGATGGAGAAGGAGCTGGAGCAGCGTATGAAGCTTGCGATGATGCTCGTGCAGCTGCCGAACTGTTGGATCCCGTGCGGGGACTCTCTACAAAAATGTAACGTCTCGGTAGATTGTCACCGGAAGGTTCAACTCTGTTCAGCGATGGCACTTGACCTTCCAGAAGCAAGTTCCCGGAAACATCAAAGAAGCGGAGATTCCGGAATGAGCGTATGGAAGCCGGAATTTTCCCAGTGAAGAGATTATCCGAGAGAGAGAGTTTTTCCAGGTTGGGGAAATACTTAAGGAAACTCAAATCCCCGGTGAATTTATTTGATCCAACGTCGAGCACTCGGAGGCGAACGAGAGATGACAATTCAGATGGAATTTTTCCTGAAAACCTGTTGTTTCTGAGGTTCAGAATTTCCAATTTGGTACAGTCAACAATCTGGGAAGGTAGTTGGTCAACAAGCTTGTTGTTGGACAGGGAGAGCTCTTTGAGTTCGGAAAGCCGTCCGATTGCCGGGGAGAGCGAACCCTTGAGCTGTTGCGACTTGAAGACGAGTCTTGTGATTCTCAGGACATACGTATTGTTGCTTGTGAGCCTTCTTTCGCAGATTACACCAGGTAGGTTGCATGGTGTGGTGGGGGCTAGATGGAGCTGTATGTCGAAGCCCATGTCCTTTCGGATGGTTTTGAGGGCGTCGAGATCCGAACGGTCAAGAACCAATCTTGCATGGGCTAGGACGAGGAGAGAGAGCATGGACAGGAGGAAAAGGCGGGTTTTGCCGCCGGTAGCGGGCGCCATATGGTGGTGGATTCTGGCGAGGGGCTTGTTTTAGGTTGAGTGCTCGGATGGACTTGAACAGAGGCTATATTTGACTATGAGGAATCCCAGATTTTGTTTTGCTATTTCCTCTTGGGAACTTCCTTGGTGGATGATTAGTGTGTGGTTTGGCTTTTTAAGCAGAACCCGTGTGGAAAATATTGCACGTAATGGGGCCATGTGCATTATTGACTGGGGCCATGTGCATTATTGACTTACTTTTCAACCCGGCTGGTGAGGATGAGTTTATAGAATTTCGTTTGAATTTCTGTTTTGGACTTTTCCGACTGAAGAAAGGGAAAGAAAACCACAGGAGGTTCTTAGAACAAGCACAGTGATTGGAGTTGCATCAACTTTTTCAACTGCAAATTGCTATAAGGAAATGTTCTTGAATCTTCTCTTCAATCCACCGGATGAAGGTGTCATTGGAGGGAGGGAAAGAAACAAATGCAGAGTAGATGTTGCTTATGACCGATTCTGTTGCATTTGTGTATATAGTTTGGTCAAATGCTACGATAAGTATGAATACGATAATATCAGTCGTTGCATGATCCTTTTGTCTCTTTTTTTCCCCCCTCCACGGGTTTAGAAAGTATTGTTTGATTGACCCAGTGCGGTATCTCAACTGCCATGCCACGGAGATTGACAGAGCACCGTCCCCATGATCCTCAAGAGGTAACACCAAAAACAGAGTACTCTGTCCTTTGTATCCGTCGCTCGGCGTATTCGTTTGGCACACACGAGATCTGTGAAGTCGCGCGATATGTTTTCGCTCGCATCCTCGAGAGAGAGAGAGATGCGCGCGTTTCGGACGCCATGGCCGAGTATACACGAAGTCTGCAAAACTTAAGCATGTGGTCCGGGATTTGGCAATCGAACCATGCGGAACATGTGTTAAGATCACAGAGCTCTGCAGGAGTCAAAAGTCTTTTTTGGCTTGACCCGGCTTTGTGCGCCGGGCACGTTCTCACTCTGAGAAACTACCCGGCAACATCCACGATTTCGCACCGAAGACGACATCATCGACGTAGAAGAAGGGGCGATAATGGAGACCAAGAACACGCGCACCCCACAAACGTCTCTGCAAATGGCCATCTCTGTCTCTCTCTGTCTCTGTCTGTCTCAAGTCTCTCTGTTTTCTTCTCTCTCTGTTTTCTTGGGGTCCATTTGAACGTGTGAGAAGGGGCAGTCGTACCATACGCTTCGTGGACGGAAAAAGGTTGGCCTTTTGGGTCCAGTTGAACGTGAGAGAAGGGCCGAACATTGGCCGTTGGATCGAATGACCGGGAGCAGCGTCGACTCCGAGGTCAACATCAGCGAAGACTTGGGGTCAACGGGGCTTGATGTTGACAGCCCGGTCAAGTCAACAAAAACACAAGGCAAGTCTTCCGCCCATCTTGGGCCGTTGGATTGCGATCGAGACTGACCCGTGAGTCATCGGCTCTTCTTGATCTTTGGTTTTAATTTTTTTTTTATCGTCTTCATTTCTGGGATATTTTTTTTTTTGTGGTTACATATGAGCAATAACGACTTCGAGTAGCCTATCGGACAAGTTGGCCAAGAAATAAATTCTATCCGAATTTGAAGGCTTCTGTCTTTTTCACTTCCATCTCCCGACCAATTAGCAAGACTAGTAGTGCCCAGATGTTAACAATTGGAGTTCCAAATGGACGACAGTGACTCAAACGTGTGATTATAGAGGAGGGCTTATCGTGGGAAGGTTATATTCAAATGTTACGGTTGTTGTAATATTAAGTAAGGATCAGCGCTGTCCTCGAAAATGGCGAGAGGCTCCTGAGATTGTGGAATGCGGAGAAAAGGCATAAAACCAACTCGGGCTGATGAGTTCGTCAAAACATAGGCCAACATAACAACCGAGAGGAACGCATACTGCAAGTTTTAATGATTGCAAAGATGAAATTTTAATTGCATTCGGGTTATTTGTTGAATAAAAGCAAGGGGCCGAATCAACCGATTATTCTCCATCCAAATTCTATTTTCTTATACACAGTTTTAGTTCTTTGCGGGCAGCTAGTGTTTCTTGTCTGAAAATTTTCAACTTTTTTCGTTCCGGTATTAGCTCATTTTTTGTTCCTTTTCTAGATGAGTGAGTTATAGATTGTGCAGAAAGGAGAGAAGAAATGAGCATCAAAAGGCCCGTGGATCACACGGCACAATAGTGGGATATGGGCCTTGAAATCCTTGAGCGTGGGGGTGCAGCAAGGTCCGAATCCGAGCCCAAGCCCAACTCCTAAATTGAGAAACCTATAAAAAATTCGTGGGAGGAATGAGCAATTGAAACAGCAAAACTACACATTTCTCTATGTACTTTCCTTTACATACAATCTTCGGCCTCGGATTTTTACCCGGAAATTTCACGATCCCATCTCTTTTTAGCGCAAAACTATAACCGTGCTCCATCACGAAACGGACAAAATCGAAATTTATGAAAATCAAGCAAATTGCCATCGTTCCCTCGACTCCTTAGAATCACAAAACTCCCACGTGCCGAACATAAATTCGAGAAGGTGGGGATTCATACCCAGGGAGGATTAGGGGTGGGGACGTATAGTTTCAGATGTGGGTTTCGACTCCCACACCCTGCAAGAAATAGGATAAAAGTCTGAGAGTAAGCTGAGAGTTAAAGTAGGACAGATAAAAAAAAAAATTCGAGATGATTATTGCAAATTAGTTCATGAACCCCTAATCGCTTAAAATTTATACCATATTGCTCAAATAGATCAAATCTTTATAATACATATATTACATATTTGTTTTATTGTCTAGCAATTCAAAATTGCTGCTCGATTGCGTGAAAGGTAGGAACGGAGACGGATGACACGAATAGCGATGTCCTGGGCCTGGCGTGTATATGCCGCTACCTCTGTGCGCACGTCTTCGATAACTCTTTGGGCCCTGCTCTCGCCATTCGCCATCGCTCTCTCTCGCTCTCGCTCTCGCTCGCTCTCTCTCTCTCGTGTGGCTCCATTCCTCATCGTTCCAAACGGGTAACCGCGGTTCCTCGCGCATGGAGGTAATGCTCTTTACCTGACCGATCTAATTCGCCATCGTATCCGACTGCAAATTTGGATCGCTCGACCCGTTGCGCTCGATGTTGCTGACTCCCGCTAGTTCGCGCATTAGTAATTTCATAGTGGAAGAAGAAAGATTGGGTCGAGGTGAATTTGGTCGAGTTCTTCACATGCAGTGGGGTCTGGATGAGTTCAGCTTCGCTTTTGGAATAAAGGGTCGGTTCCTGATGACTTCATCCGGGTCGGGCAGCATCAGCAGCTTAGTGGGGTTGTGTTAGTTTCAACTAGATGGTGAGGGATACAGTTGAAGAATTTCTTCTTTGTCGGTCATCAGAGGGAAAGAGAGAATTTTGAGCCTTTACTGAGAATGAGGATGCATCGAGTATCTGATATTGGAGCAGATGATGATCTTTCTGGCATATAAATAGAGGAAAACCATCGGGTGGCTTTGAATTTGGATACATCCAGATTATTTTCTGGTAGAATTTCGGGGACGAAACCTGGAAATTGGTATTTGATGTGCTGAATTTTGTTGGGCGGATTTCGCAATGTAGACTTGATTAGTTACCTTAAAAATCATGCCAGTGCTGAGGTCATGCCCATTTATGTTGTGAGGTTGTAACTTGTAATTGATGGCATAGGTTGTAGCTTTGCACATGAATATGGTGATACAGTATAAGTTGTACTGTCCCTTTCACTAAAGCTTTCTTTGGCTTCTTTAGTCATCATACTTCACTGTAGGACTATGTAGGACAAGGATCTCTGATGTAGAGAACTTTCAGTCTGCACCCTTATATTTTTGAAGTTCTCTTTAAAGGATTCTAGCATGTTGGAGCTTGTCCAGGATCACTGATGGTCTGTATTGTAGATACACTTTGGTTTATTACTTCCTCGCTCTTTGATCGTTTGAATCAACATCGGCTCGTGCTATCAATTTCTTTTACTTGTATTGGACCATTATAAGGGAAGAACTAAATTTGTTTTGCAGCGGTTTTCGACTGGAAATGGCATAGATAGGAACAAAGCAATGGTGGAGCAGTTGCAGCGCTATGGCATATTTAATTCAAAGAGAGTTGCTGAAACAATGGAGAAAGTTGATAGGGCTTTATTCGTTCCTGACGGGACTCCAGCTTACGTTGACAGCCCCATGGCAATTGGTTACAATGTCACCATTTCTGCACCTCATATGCATGCGATGTGCCTTCAGTTGTTGGAGAAGAATTTGCAGCCCGGCATGCATGCTCTAGATGTTGGCTCAGGTTTTCATGTTAATCCTTTTTCTATGGATCATGTCTACATGGATATGCACATACATCCTCCACAATTTTGCAGTATCCTCTTTCATCTGGGGTCCTCTTCCTGTAAATACTTAAATCTATCTTTAGATCGGAATCCAGATAGAGAGGGGAAAATAATCATGTTTTTTTCTGCTCACCTTAATGATTCAGCTGACAATTTCCCCCTGTTTGTGACTTGCTGGAATAATAAGTACTCCTTGAGAGCACAAATGGCAACTATCTGTTTGATACACCCTTTTTAATCTCATCCTCCCTGAGTAGTCCAAACGATTTAAACTTGATCTTTTCCCCTGTCCCCATCTTAAATTCTTCCTCTAGGGGTCTTATTAATCTGCTGCTGCACTCCGGGGTGAGGTTCAGAATGAATGCTTTTTTTTTGCTGAGCAAACTCATTGAATTGAAATTGGCAACTGTCCGATCGATCTTTAATTACTTTTCTGTTCTGTTTGCAGAACTATCCAAATTGATATTGTCATGATTTTTTCCAAATCAGTCTGAAAGAATCCTGCTCCAGTCTTTTTATATCTCTTGTTAAATGGGAGTTTATGAACTCTAGTTCTCATCTTGTGTACAGGAACTGGCTATTTGACAGCATGCTTTGCACTGATGGTTGGACCTGAAGGTCGAGCTGTTGGTGTGGAACACATTCCTGAACTGGTTACTTCTTCAATCCAGAACATTGAAAAAAGTGAGGCAGCAGGGTTGTTGAAACAAGGCTCCCTTTCCATCAATGTTGGTGGTATGTATCCACTATCCAGGAATGCAATACCATCTTTCATGTTCGTGATAATGATAATGGGAAGTTAGAAAATAACTCTTATTTTCCTTGGTGATTAAAGTTGTGCATGTCAAAAAAAAAAAAAAGGATAGGATTGTTTTTCTGAAAGGCAGTAAATGGAAATTTGAGGGTGTTTATGCTGATAAAATATTACAATAACAACTATCAGATCCATTTCTTGATAGTTTAAGGTTTTTGAGCGAAAAAAATTAACAATAGCACTAAAACACATATCAAGAGTCTGAATCCTAACACTGCCCGCTATTTTTCTTTTGCCTGTTTTCCTTCTCAGTGTTCATCATTCTGGTTGTTTGATGCGCTACATCCATGTTGTTAGTTTCACATGTGAGGCTCGATCTAGGAAAGTGTTGAGAGATATGCTAAATTTAGGATTGTGAAACTGTTTCTTGGAAAACAATTTATCTATTAGTTCGTTGGATTAGCTTTAAGTGAATATGACTTGAAATCAAGATTAAAGCATAGATTTGTTTGGATTTTGACTCTTACTGAAGAGGAGAATTTTTTGTAAAGGCTCTAAGCTACTTGTTGGAAATGAGTGTGAATGTAACCATCTGCACTGTATGCTGCAAAGTTGAAGGGTTAAACTGACTGCAGACGTACCTTAAAATCCAACAACAACCAGGCTCATAAAAGATCGGAAACTTTAATACTTTCTTTTGCTTTTTTCTTCTGCCTATGGTTACCAAACACTATTTGCTTTTCATGAAAATACTTTGATTCAATTTTACTTAAACGCAAAGTCTTTGAAGCTAAACCGTTGCCAAACTCACTTTAGTCTTCATTAAAATCTATCATGGCATATTCATGTTAAATGGTCCCAATTACTTCAGTAGGTTCCATAATTTTCTAATGAGTAAGCAGTCGATTGGTGGACAAGAACTTGATAAATTGTTATTGAATGTGTTTTGTCTATTAATTGCTCATGATCTGACATTTTTACCTCATAGATGGCAGACAAGGTTGGCCAGAGTTTGCTCCTTACGATGCCATACATGTCGGGGCGGCTGCGAGAGAAATACCACAGCCACTTATTGACCAGTTGAAGCCGGGAGGGAGGATGGTGATTCCTGTCGGAAATGTATTTCAGGATTTAAAAGTGGTGGACAAGAACTTGGACGGAAGCCTGAGCATTCGGAATGAGACTTCTGTACGTTATGTTCCCCTCACGAGTCGAGATGCTCAGCTACAAGGCTCTTGAGATTACAATTGATTTACAGCCCTGGCATCATCAGGCGGTACCAAGAGAGGCTGTTGTGATGAACTTAATGTATAGGTTCTGGGCCTGCCGGCCATGTTTATATTGTACCCTACTAGTTTGTGGGAGGTTGTATGGATGTCTGTTACTCATGGTAATATTGCATCCCATTGTTGTAGATTTCTCATGCATCAAGGATGACTGCTGCCGAGTAATGATATCCTGAGTAAATGCAGTTTGTGCTTGATGGGCCTGGCACAATATTGAAGGCATTTCATCAGTCTGAAAAGTAACGGAAAAATGACACAAACAGTTTCTGAACTTTAATTCAATGTGCAATTTGATTCCTGAACTTTTAATTTGTTCAATATAGTCCTTGAACTTTAACCCAATATTCAATGTGGTCCCTGAACTTTCAATTTATTTAATTTGGTCTCTGAACTTTTTGTATATGATCAATTTAGTTCCTGAACTTTATAAAAATGTTCAATGTAGTCTTTCTATTAATTCAAGTTCAGGGATTATATTATGTATTTTCATAAAGTTCAGGGACTAAATTGAACAAGTACCAAAAGTTCAGGAACCACATTGAATAAATTAAAAATTCAGGGACTACATTGAACATTAGGCTAAAGTTCAAGGACTATATTGAACAAATTAAAAGTTTAAGGATCAAATTGCACATTGAGCCAAAGTTCGAAGACTATTTGTGTCATTATCCCAAAAGTAAATGGTAACAAATGGCAGTGGTTTTGGTGCACAATATTATCTATTCGGACATTCTTTCCTCTCATCGGATGAATCTAAACTGAATTCACCATCTTTTCCTCTGAACGACATGAATTGGTAACGACATGCAGTTCTTTGACTGTGACAACACCCTGTCTGAAATTACCCTCCATGGTTATGCCACCGTTCAAATCAGCTGTTTAACTGTTATTTTATCTTTTATTCCGAAACACAAAAGAGAGGGAGGCTTGACCACTTGCATTGTCCAACTTCAGAAAGCCAGAAAAAGCTCTTAAATTTCCTTAGTTAGGATCAGCTCCCTGTACCCGTAACCCCAGAGAGCAAGAGTTGAGAGTCTACTCATGGCTCATTACGAGGAATTGAACAATTATTGGTGTTGCCTATTGCAATAAAAATTGAACTTTTACTATTCGAAAGAAACAGTCCACAATTCCATCCACGACATCCAACAAATGAAAGGCGGCAGTCCGCAACTAAATGAATCCTCCACCACTTGAAGAATCCCTGAACATCTGTCCACAGTTCATCTTCTAACAAAATACTTCTGGTACCTGTCATCAGTAACTTGTACATCTTTTCTATAATGAACGAACAGTTTCATTGTCTTACAACGGTAAAAGATGAGATTATGCAAGGAAAAGATGAAAAGGCTCGACAAAGGAGAGAAGGCGAGAAAAACAAAGCTTAAATAGTCTCCTCCTTTCGATTTAAAAGGAGCTGCGTCTCGGTCTTTCCTCCGCGACATTTACCCTGATGGCTCTCCCATCCAAGCTCTGTAATACCAGGCGACACAAATGGTCAAAATATATCCTCATGCTTTATTTCTTCAAAAGCAATTTCTGAAGAGAAAAAAGGAAGCTAATCTTCTTGAAACTAGTGTAAAGACTCGTCTCCACCAGCCAAAATCAATAACAAAAAAACTAGCAAGCAAGTTGACAAAACCGCCCGAGATATTCTCTGCAGCCGCTGTGTGAACAATGCATCTGAAATAATTTGTACAGGTTTCTTCAACCATGACATGCACAAAACCACTTGGATGAGCTTAAGATAACCAGAAATGTGTAAAGAACATGAAATGTAGTAGTACCTGTCCATCAAGAGCAGCAATAGCATCATTCATCTCAACCTCAGATGCCATCACCACAAAGCCAAAACCACGAGAACGGCCAGTTTCCCTGTCATAAACGACCCGCGCATTTACCACCTTACCATGTTCACTGAAAACTTGTTCCAGACGAGCATCATCCACATTCCACGGCAGATTCCCAGCATACACTCTATATTCAGCATCAAGGACGCGAGGGAGGCGCTCCGCTCGTGATCCTTTTGGGGAAGCCTTGTTGACAGTTAGAAGTCTACCATTTAAATCCTGTAGGCGAAGGTAATCGACCTTATTAGCATCAGAAATTAATAGACACGCCGTTAGGCAATTTCCATACATTTCGAGGGATGCCAATCTCAACTACGCATAGGATACAGGTAGGGAAATCATTGATATGCATCGACTTTTCACCAATTTGATTAGTGCTTTTCGTCCATATCGAACAGAAATAATGCTCATCAACTTTATTCACAAGATTCTCATGCCCAAGAAGCAGCTATGAGCAACCAGGAACACATGGCACAAAATGAATGAATGTGCAGCTTGAATAGTCATTGACTCAGTACTAAAAAATCCAAGATCATAAGGCGGATGCATTAAAAGGCATCTAGACAGAACACACACAACCCAATAACCTCTCCACATAATTTATAATGTCATAATTCATGACAGGTCTTCAACACACTTGAAAAGAGAATTTAAAATGACAACCAAGAGATTCAAATTGCAAAGTTTTGACAATCGAACAGAGTAACAAGGACAACCAGAAAATTTGGCAGACATTTATCTTCTTCCCTCTTCCACCCACCCTTTTCATCTTGCCCTGAACAATCCCCAACAGCAACCCCACTCCTCCACAATGAAAAGGTGTACCATGAACTGATTAGGACATGTAAGTGGCGAAGCAACTCAACAACCTCTCCACAAAAGTGATTATCAGGAAAATCAACTTTGCATTGAATTTCAATATCGCTTAATTTTGCATGAACACCCGTCATAAATCATTATTACCATACTTTCTTCATCAAAACATTCCCATAGCGGGCCAAGACACGCCAAATTCACAGTCATGCCCACGTAAGACGTGTGTGCACGCGTAGTTAAATGGATCTCCGAGATTTTCGGAAGGATTTTCAGTTTGTCCTTGCAAAAGTACAATCTTTTTATATCTCGGCATTTACATGAGAAAAATGATATGTAGCTGAACAAACCAAACTCATCAGAACAGTCAAAAAGGAAATCTAGAGAAAAACTTACAAAGTGATGAAGCATTTCCACAGCCTTTTCTGCTTCTTCCACCGTACTCATTGTAACGAACCCGAACCCACGACTCTGATCGGTCTGCCTGTTATAAATAACCTGCCACACAATTCAAAAGAACAATATAAACAGCCGCACCAAAACTCAAGATGAAAACTTGAAGCTAAACTCAACGAATTTTACGAAAAAATCACCGAAAAGGCTCACCTCAGCAATCTCAACAGTTCCAGCTTGCTCAAACAACATAGCCAATTTCTCACTGTCGATATCATAAGACAAATTACCAACAAATATCTTCGCCTCCTCGGGCGGCTCCACGAAAGATCCCTTCATTTCGGCCCCCTCGAAAAACCCATCTTCGCCACCATCTCCCTCGGCCGCCTCGTCGACTCCGACGCCCGCGTCCTCCCCCTCGGCTCCCCAGCCCGATCCCAGGGCTTCGAGCTCGCCCTTCCCCTGTCCTTCCTGCTGGGCGGCCCAGTCCGCGGTGCGCGCGACGAACGCGGCGACGGAGCGGTGGCGGGGCTCGAAGGAGGCCGAGGAGAGCGCGGAGCGAGACCGGGACAGGCGGAGGCTGAGGCGCCTGGAAGAGGCTGGGAGGTACAGGAGAGGGCTTTTCGCGGCGGAGTTGGAGCGAGAAGGGCTGGAGAAGAGGGACGAATTGGTCGTCAGCAAGGATTTCAACGCTGTCGTCGCCATTGTCGCACAGACACACACACACACACAGAGACACCAACAACAACAACAGAGAGAAAGAGAAGATACAGAGAGAGAGAGAGAGAGAGAGAGGGTTTGGAGGTTGAAGATAAGGGTTTAAATCGAAGAGGAGAAATGATACAGAAGAGACTTATATATATATGTCAGCCGGTTCGGTTCACAGACGGTAAGCCCGGTCCTGTCCGGTCCGGTCCGGTCCGGTCCGGCTGAGTGATGTACTTTTCTCTTTTTGAAAATTGACACTCTATTTATTCTTGGAATTTCATGGAATGACCTTATTGAAATTCTCATTTTAGGGTTTAACTTGCAGGGAAGAAATTATGGATATTGTCGCCCAAGCGATACTTCGTTTCACAAACAGTTGGGCCGGATCGATTTGGCCGGCTTGGCTGATTAATGTATATTTCCTTTTTTCAGAATGTATGCTCTACAACATAGCACAACACGAGCGTATTAATATTGGTTTCGAATGATATCGACGGAAGAAGATAAACTTGGAGATCGAAATTTGTCTCCTTCCATGAAAAAGAAGGTCATAATTTTTGTTATTGATATTTATCCATGAAGTTTTATGGAATCATTGAGATTTTAGGGTTTAATTTGAAGAGAAGAAATAATAATTAAAAAAAATACTGTAGAAATGTCATCCTGTTGTTCCTTCACTTCACAGATAGTTGGTCCGGACCGATCCGGCCGGCTCGATTCATACATTTTTCTTTCTTAAAATTGACACTCCAAACTCAATATAGGCATATTAATATCGATCTTCATAGATATCGGGAGAGAAAGATAAATTCGGAGATCGAAATTTATTTCCTTTCATGAAAAATATTTGTCGCAATATACCAATATTAATTCATGAAGTTTCATGAATGCCCTTATTGAAATCCTATTAGTAGCCTTAACTTTCATCATTATGTATGTCCAAAAATCATTAGCCATAGCCTGCGTCGAGTGAGGATGTTTCGTGTGGGATTTTGACAGTTTGTTTCAAGAAAAATAAATGTTGAGGAAAATATTTTCTAAAAATTATCACTATCGTTTATAAAAATGAATAAATGAAAAATATTATCATCGTCCATGAAAATATTTAGACATGAATTTTTATTGATAATGAAAATATTTTTCATGAAATAATTATTTCAAGCGATACAAACAATCATTTATAGGAAAATATTTTCCAAATTATTCATTTTTCACCAAATAAACGGAGTCTAATTCATCTAATCATCGCCCTTTTTTCTTGTACATCATCAATATAATGTTCTTGTGCACACTCATGCAAAGCCCGATACCTTATGTACATATTCCTTGCACAAACATATGATTTAGATGCCTCGTATTTTTCGAAAAGTGGGACCTTCTAATTACTTAAGCAAGGATGAGTCTTCTAGCCAAAAAAAAAAAAAAAAAGCAAGGATGAGTCGATACGCCAAAGTCCTAGAAAACAACCTCAACATCCCAGAACCTGCATTCTCCTGGAAGCTTAAGGGTCAGCAACTTGTCTTCCACACTGTATGTGAACTCCTCTTCCTCTGCATCTACCTTGCACCACTTTGGCCTGCTGCTCGAGTAAGCTCCGAACCGTCCGCAGCCTCGCACCTTAACGTTCAATACGCACCACGAGGGGTCAACCATGAGGGGTCCGTCCTGTGGGTGAGCTCTTCCACGGCCCCTCCCGAGTTGTACATGTCGAGTAATCCGATCGGAGCAAAGTGAACATCCCGATCAAATACCTGTCCAAGTGTCCGTGCTTAGATTTTCGACAAATCAGGGTTGTGATGCAGGAGCAGATGCAGAAGAAGGAAATAAAACAGCAGGGTCTTTGGTGCTTTACCCTAATGGGCGATATGGTGCATATTTCGCAACTTAAGGTCCGCAACCATACTTCGACAGTCTCTCTCCTCGACAATGCCTGGAGCGAACCTGTGACCCAAAAGGTTCATTGATCATTCAAGTAAGAGTGAGATTTCGGATGCGGTACAGACACGAGGACTTAGGCACTGGCCTGTATGGAAGGCATAAACTGCAGAGTCTCCTTCCCAATTATCGCCAGCTACGTCTTCGAGAAGCTCGACGTCAAGAGGACGGACATGTACCAAGATAGGCGGTCGAATAGGCGCCGTGATAGGCTTCTCCTGACCTCCCTCTTTCAAAGGCCAAGCTCCCGCTCCTTGGCAATTAAACACACCCACGACCCCGTTTAACTTGTTCAAGTTCCATATCTTCAGCAAACTAGAGATTGCAAACCCGAAGACTTGTGAGAAGACTATGGCCAGTTCTACAGTCTTATCCTTACGTTCTACTTATTTGAGAAGCTGAAAATTTTTTACCTTTCCCCGTCCATGACGGGGTCTTTGAACAAGCAGTCTCGAGTGGGCCGGCCAGCACATCGAGCTCTCAGAACAGACCCATGGGTAACACCAGCTTTCTGAGGATCTTGAAGTCGTGATTCCGCAGCTTGTCACTATATCATGTGATCATTAGCAGAAGAACAGGATATTAACAAAACAAGGGGATTCACTGATATCTTCTGTGTCAGAGTCAGCACCTTACATAGGCTGCGTTTGGGATTGGCTTTAGGAATCCACTTTGGACACCTAAAGCCCTTAGGCTAAAATTTGGTGTTTGGCAAATTTTTTTTGAAACCCCATTGAGCCAAAGTTGGCCTTGTGAAGGCTGAAAGCCCAAGGCAGGTCCTAGGCTGCCTTGGGTTTTCAGCTTTCTCGGTAAACAATAGTACCCGGGTAAGTAAAAAAAATTTCTTCCGAAACTACCCTCATCTATTTTTTGATTTTCCGATTTTGCCCTCGTCTGGCACTGTTCATCTTCCCGAGGAACCAAACCGGAGGCCGGCGACCGCCGCTTGAGGGGTCTGGCCACTGCCGCCTGGGGGTCGGCCGACCTCCGGCGACCGCCGCCTGGTGGTTGCCCAACCCCGGCGACCGCCGCCTGGGGTCGCCTGACCTCAGGCGGCACCTAGGTCGCGTGACCGAGCTGGGTCGTCGCGTGACAGAGCTGGGTCGTGCGACCTAACCGCCGCCTGAGGTCGGGCGACCCCAGGCGGCGGTCGCCGGAGGTCGGCCGACCCCCAGGCGGCGTTGGCCGGACCCGCGCGACCCAGGTGACGCCTAGGTCACGCGACCTCAGGCCGCCTCGCCTGAGGTCGCGCGACCCAGGCAAGCGTCGGCTGGGTCGCGCGACCCAGGCAAGCGTCGGCCTGGGTCGCGCGACCCAGGCGAGGCGGCTTGAGGGTTGCGCGACCCTCAGGCGGCGGTGCAGCCTCGCCTGAGGTCGCCCTGGCGGTGCCGCCTCGCCTAAGGTCGGGCGACCTCAGGCGAGGCTGGCCGGCGGCCAAATCTGGCCGCCGGAGGTTGGCCGGCGGCCATTTTGGCCCGCCGGTAGTGGCTGTGCTTTTTGCTGAATTTTTTTTTATAAATAATTAGCAAAAGTCCTTTACAAAATTAATTTTTACCAAACGGTATTTAGACCAAAGTTGCTTTTAAACGTGATTTTAAAATACACATTACCAAACACTACTTGCATTTCGGAAAACCCTTTTAGCTCAAAATCCTTTGCATTTTCCCAAAAACTTTCCCCCAAAGTGTTCCCAAACGCAGCGTGGAACCCGGCTGTGTTATGTTTGCTCTGCCTTTGACATGTGAAATCAGAAATGAAAATCTGCAATCCTCATCATGAAGCAGGTGAAGCTAAGTGCTAGAGCAATAGCCGAATGTTGAAAATATCAAGTGGCTCCATTAGGAAGACGAAAATGCAAGAGAAGAAAGCCTACGTAAAACATGTCCCAATCTGGAACCACAATCTCTCCAAGAAGAAGACTATTAGAAGCCACCGAGGCGACATGTAGGGTCTGAAATGTTGGTTTTCGAGGCATGAAATCCTCCGACGCCCCTGCAACCGAACTCTTCTTTGAACTGAACAGCTAATAATTAATTAGAACTTGTATCAAAACTCCCTACTTACAAGAACTTTGAACTACTGACGAGATCACTGACAAGAAAGAAAGGAGAACCATCCGGCAGACCTGTATATGGACTCCGTGTTATGACTCATGCAGCAAATGATATCGTTTTCTTTAAAGTTCCTTGCAATAGATTGCTCGAGCGCTTCTTGATACTGCCTGGTCAACGCAACTCGTCCACCGTATCCTTGTCCTAAGGTTTCCAATGTATTTTGAACATCTACCTTCACACCATCAGCACCGCATTTCGCCAAATAGCTATGGAGATCATCATAGAAATCATGTATCCTCCGAGGGTCTATTAGCCCGACCCCATATTTATCGAGGCAGTCCATAGCCATATCTCTAAGATTGCTGACATTTCCATCTGACTGGACCTGGTATACCAATTTCGGATTGTACTCCTTCAATTTTCTCGGACGATGGGAGTACACCTCCCCAATAACCAGCCAAAGCATGCCACAGATATACGAATCTGCATGAACGAGCAAATGCTGATAATCTCAAACAACACAATTTAAATCATCCTCATTAGCAACAGTGAAATATGCCGAATGTGGACCCTTACCTTACTCCATACTTGTCCTTGACAAAATGAATCAAGCCATGCAAATCCCTAAACGCATTTTCTGAAACGGAATTCCTGAACTTACCGCTTTCTTCAATGTCAACTAACCGGACAACAAAACTGAAAGACCTCAACAGAAGACGATTGTGATGATTCACCAATTAATGCCGTTGTCATATCCTTCCGTAAAATGGTAAACCACTATAAAAAGAAGCTAATATATACTGTCTCTTGGAGAAATAGATCCCTATCTTCGTGAAACTCATCAAATGGATATTGCCACTCGTCATCAATGATAAAAAATTTTGGTGAGCAGCCTCCATCATTGAGACTGCATGGATATAAAACATAGATGATCCTTCAGCCTACTCTTATGGAGCTTAGTCTCAAGATATTTAAATTACAGCCAAATTACCTTTGAAGGCCCTCTTTGATACCTTCCGGATTGACTTGTCGATAAAAAGCATCCCACGTGCACCAACCGAACCAATCCAGATGCACCGGCAACTACTCAAATGAAGGCCAAAATTCGAATAAATAG